AAAAAGAAAGAAGGAAAGAAAGAAAGAAAGCTCATTTGCATGAACTCACAGTTACTCTTGTCCAAGTCAACAGCAATTCTAACTTTGGCCTTCAGTTTACTGCAATTTATTTTTATTTTTCCTCCGGTTTTCTCTTAGAGCCAGATCAAAAGGGTGGAGATTGGGTGAGTCTTGAGATCTTTTGTTCTGCCCAAACTGGGGAGTTCAAACTGCTGACAGCCCCAGAAGCCTTTGAAGTGGAACTGTCCGGAGTTGGAAGTCTGCCTTTATCATCTGTTTGCTCTCTGATCTTGTGCAGAGCACTTCACTTCTCTAAGCCCACATCTTCTTAGCTGCAAAATATGAGAGTCCTGCGAGACTTACATAAAAGCATTCTGTGGGGATCCCCTACCATAGGACCTGTGGTCCATAATTGATCATTATTGTCCATTCTGTAAGCTCAAGACAGCTGGACACTGTCTCTCTTATTGCCAAAACACTAGCACCTGGCATCTGGTGGATGGTCAATTAAAAAAATCTCACACTTGAGGCAGGGCGTGGTGGCACAAATGTCTTTATTCCTGGTGATTCTGGGAGGCTGAGATAGAAGGATTGTGAGTTGGAGGCCCAGCCTCAGCAGTTAAGTAAGACTCTGTCTCAAATAAATAAATAAAAATGAATAAAAAGGGCTGGGGATGTAGCTCAGTGGTATAGTGCCCTTGAGTCCAATCCCCGGTATATAAAAAAGAAAAAGACTCACACTTGAAGAAGTTCAAGGTTGCAGAGGGCGGGGAGCGCTGTACGCTCAGGAGGCCTTCTGGGGAAATCTCCTATTAGGTGGTTGAAGAGCATCAACTTAGACCTTGCCTTTGGGGGCAGAACAGCTTGGGAGATTCCTGGGGGGCAGGTGCTGTGCTGGGGAGTCAATAGGAAGGGCAAAAATGAAGACAGCAGGTCCTCATTTACCCTAGTCCATCGGGGCTAGAAAAACAGTGTGCTCTTTTTATAGAGGAGAAAACCGACATCTGGAGGCAGGAGGCGACTCGACTAAGGGGTGCAGCTTGTTTGAAGCCAGCAGAGGCTTGAACCCCTGTCCTGGGATGGCTTGTCCAGCGCTCCGCTCCTGCATCGCCTCCGGTCCTGTCTGCTTCCTCCACCGCTGTCGTATAATGAGAAGCAGCTGAGGTCACGGTGTGCACAACAGAGGGAGCGCCAAGCCTAACCGGCTCTGGGAGGGCGGGGCCTGATGTCTCCCCTGGGTCTCATCTGCTGGGTTAAACCATGCTGATCCCTGAATATTACGCAACATGAATAAGAAATAGGGAAAAAGAAAAAAGAATTAAGAAGACAAACAGCAACTGGAATCCCACTACCTAGAGATAACCACTGCTGACCCCTAGCCCCATTTCCTTCCAGTTCTTTTCTCTGAATATGTAAAATCTTTTACATTTCCCTTTCTCCCACCCCAGTAAGCTCACAACTAATATTATATTAAAAGTGATACAATCACATTTTGAAGTAGATGTGAAACGGGCCTCAATTTTGTAAATTTAAAGGCTTCAAAGAAAATTTTAAAATTTCAAAAGTGTGCTAGTGGTGCGGGCTCCCCTCCAGAGCCTCGAGTTAGACTGTCACAGTTCTGTGCCATTTGAGGGGGTAGGTGGGAGAAATATTGGACTATTATAAGATATTTTATCACCAAGCAACACATATGTAATAGGTTATATATAATACATTATATAGGTTTAATATGATCTATATTTATATTTTGTGAAATGCAATATACTTCATATATAATAGCTTTTATTGAGGTATAACTTACATACCATCCAATTCAGCCATTGAAAATATACATTTCAATGGGTTTGAAAATCTTTGGAGCCTTTTCCCCAGAAAACTCTGTACCCACAGAGGCATGCACACATAAATTGGTGGACCCTAAAGACCATCAGTAGATGACTCAACTCAGAATTGATATATTCCAATAAATTAAAAAAGATGAGCCGGGCTTGGTGGCCCACACCTGTCATCCTAGTGGCTCAGGAGGCCGAGGCAGGAGGATGGTGATTTCAAAGCCAGCCTCAGCCAAAATGAGGCCCTAAGCAACTCGGTGAGACCCTGTCTCTAAACAAAATACAAAATAGGGCTGGGGATGGGGCTCAGTGGCTAAGCACCCCGGGGTTCAATCCCCAGTGCCAAAAACTATGAGAAATAGCTGTTGTTATTAGCCACTCAGCTTATGGTATTTTGTTATTACAGTCCAAACAGACTGAAGCTTATGGGTTCACACAAGCCATCCCCCCCACAATTCACTTGTTGTTTTTACTTCCAGAAGGGAGCTGAGGCACAGAGAGGTCAAGCCACTTGTGTTAGGCCACACAGCTATGAAGTACACAGCAGAATAAGTGGTGGGGTGGGATTCGAACCTTCGATGTGCTCTGCACCTCTCCCATCTGCGACCTTGAAGTCTCCTGGCTGTGATTATATCGTATTCATCATCTGACAAGAGCTGGGCTCTGCGTCCGGATCCTGTGTGCCTTACTTGCCAGGGTTACGCCTTTAGTTCCTGGGTCCTGGGGGGTCCTGGGAGGTGTGGTGGGCTTCCCCGACGGGTCAGGCGATGTTTTAATATTCACAGGACTGCACAATTCCCCAGCAGTGCCTCTGGGGCTCTTCTGAAGACGTGCAGCTTGGCAGAGGTCTGTGCAGGGGGAATGGGGAGCCCAGGGCCTGGGGTTCCTGCAGTGATGGTGGGGGGTCCTAGGCCCGGGCCCTTTGGCATCCCCCACTGGGCCTGGGCCCAGCCCCTGCCCCTGAGCTCTGCGTGTGCCCCTGAGTCAGAATCCCTGGCAGGAAAGTAAACTTTCTGCACCTAGGGGAGGAGTGGGGAGCTCACTTTTCAAAAATAGGAAAGGCAGCCCCGTTGCTATGACGAAGTCCTCGTGTTTCCAAAACCCAGAAAGTCTTGATGACCCACATTAAAAAAAAGGTACCTACCACCTCCTTGTGAAAATACCCAGAAGCAACCGGCATCTCCTGCCCGATGTGAGCGGGGGTGGGCGGGGGCCTCCAAGGCTCTGGGGTCCCCCACACTCCCCCCCACGTCACCAGCAAACCCCAAGCCCCCCACAGAGCCACTGCAGATGGGGGCGTCTTACAACAATGTCTGAGGAGGGGTGGGAATCATTCACACCACGTGGGTCTTTATGAAAACCAAGGGCAGCCCCGGAGCCCAGAGCTTGGACCCACGGGTCGTGGACACGGGGTCGGCCAGCTGACGCTGCAGCCTCCCCCCTGGGCCTCCGGGGTCCACTGCCCTGACCGCGAGCATCACGCGGCTCTGCGGGTCCTTGACGGGCTTCGGCCTCCAGGTTCTGAGCCCCCGACCCTGGCCGTGGAGGCAGGGCCAGGGCACTGGGCAGCTTGGGGCCTCGGTCTTCCCGTAGGCAAAGTGGGTGCAGTCCAGGAAGCCACGCGAGGAGACGGACAGAGGAGGGACGGAGGCGGAGGAAGGCCGAGCAGACGGGGCCAGAGCAAGTCACTGGTGACTCAGGGAGGCTGTCAGGGAATTCCTCGTCACCAACCCCCAGGTAGGGGACATGGAGGGGTCACCGGAGGCTTCTCGGCTGGGCTCTGATGGGGACCCCAGGGGCCCTGGGGGCCAGGGTGTGGAGGGCAGTGCATCTGACCCAGGCTGGCCTTATTTCTTTCTCCTTAGGGTTTGGGGTGCACACAGAGTCTTCTGGAAAATAGAGGCCTTTATAGAGAAAGACGGAGGCTAGCGGTCAGGGGAGGCCGAGGGTTGGGGCAGGGGTGGGGGCCTGAAGAGTCCCCGAGGGCCTGGGAGGCTGGAGGGCTCTGGTTTCCTGACGGAGCAGGGAGAAGAGACAGGCCCTGGGACAGAGGGGTCAGCGGGGCAGGAGAAGGAGGCGCAGGCCAGGGACACACAGGACTGCAGGAGACAGACCTTCATTTCATACAAGGAACAGGGAAGCCCAGAGAGGGGAGGTGATCTGCCCAAGTCCACACAGCAAGACAGCAGCAGGCTTGGATTTGAACTCAGGTCTTTCTGACCTCAGAAGTTGTGTGTGTGTGTTGAGGTCATGCCCTTGACCTCTAGGCTGCCCTAAGATTCAGTGGCTTTGTTGTCTGGCCCGTCGCTGGACGCTCCTCCTGGCAGCTGGCCCTGGGGAGGGGCTCGGGTCAGGAACTGTCCAGTGGGGGTCAGCCCCGGGGAGCCAGGGACAGCAGCCAGGGCGGGAGGCAGAGGTGCACAGGGCCACGTGGCATAGCAGGAGGGACACGGTGGCCACGTGCAGACGGGCCTGCAGGAGGGTGCTGGACCCTGCCAGGCAGGTGGGGGGACACGGGACCCACCTGGAAGGCGGCTGGAGGAGAGGACGTCCAAGCGCAGTTTCAAAGGACCCAGGCTCCCAGGTGGCTGGGCGCAGGGTGGCGGGGCGCGGGGGTGTCACCTTTGCAGAAGGACCAGCTTGGCACAGGGTGGGTTCCCAACAGAAGAGGAGGAGGAGGGTCACGCGGCTGGAGAGGCGGGCAGGTTTGGGGCACAGGAAGCTTCTGTGCATGTGTGTGTGCGAGTGTGCGCATATATGAGTGTAAATTTGTGTACATGTGAGCACGTGGGCAGTGTGCATGCTCATGTGTATAGGTGTGTGCGTGTGTGTGCACATGCCTGTGTACGAGTGTGTCCACACGTGCGGGCATGTACTTATGCATGTGCATGATTGTGCGTGTGCTTGTGTGTTTACCTGCATGTGTGCAAGCGTGGAGTGGGGCTTGGGAAGCCCTCTGGGAATTAAGATGATTGAGCAGTGCCTCAGGACTTGCTGTGTGGCTTTGGGCAGTTGCTTACCCTCTCTGGGCCTCTTTTCCACTGGCTGGAAAATGAAAGCTTTCCCAGAACACGACTTCATGAGGTTCCTGTCACCTGAGAGCTGGCTGACAGCCACCCATCTCCTGAGCTCCTCCTCCCATCCCCTCCTCCCATCCCGTCTAGGGTTCCAAGAGAAAGGGGCTGAAACACCCTTGCAGGGCCCTCCCGTGGTCAAAGGCCCCTGGAAAGCGGTCTTGTAAGAGGAGGGGCTGGGGCTGCTCTCCACCCTGTCGCCCTCACCAGGAGGGGTCCGAGATGGGGCTCCTTGTGCCCCACCCCCCCAGGGCCCCTCCGTGTGTTAACTCTTCCCAGCTTAGAAGACAGCCCTGGGCGGGACATGGCCTCCTGCACAGGATGAGGGCTGCCAGCCTCCTCCTCCGGCCTCCTCGCCCTGGGTTCCCAAGACCAACTTCTCTGCGCTTCCCTACCCCTGGATGTTTGCAGAGCCCAGAGAGCCGCTTCCCCTCCCCTCCC